GCTGGAGCCACAGGACGCCTCTTCACTCGCTGAAGAGGGCAGAGACCTCTTCCAGGTGTACACTGATGTGCTGGAACGGGATTGTCCAACTCTCCCCTTGCCCCGGGCAGCCAGCAGGTGAAGCGTAGGTTGGTTTTCCCAGCTGGATTTGGGCACAAATCCTTGAACCAGCTAAGAGAGGCTGCGGACGAGACCTTTGACCATCCACTTAGGGACATACAACACAGAAGTGGCTGTTCTCTAAGAAGCAGCCCCAACACAGGCTTATTGCTAACAATACTGTTTATCAAAATATTTAACCCCCTACTCACATATTTCCCCTACCAGCTTTTCACTCCTCTGAAATACACTTGCACATGAAATATGTGTGTTAAGTGTATTTCATCAGAGTCCCTCCTTCCAGGTTAAGCACTAAATCTGAAACAAAACTAAAAGATGATCTTTTTCTCCATCACATAAACTGAAGATGGCAAATTGATTGCAAATCAGAATATTTACTTCAAATACTATTAAAGTCACCCTGTTTCATGATAGTTAAGTTTGTTGTGGTGGAAGAAGATGAAGACATCTTCCCAGCTACTAGGAACTACTCATGTCGTACAAAAACTTGATGCCAAGGTCTTGCAGATTCCCCGTGGGAATGCTTCTGAACAGAAATATGCATGTGGGAAGCCCAGGTTCATGGGACCAGCTTTGCAGCTAGCCAGGCTGGCAGAACAGTAGACAGAAATGAAATCCAGGCCAGGAAAGGAGGGCTTACTCCTGGGAAACTGTCCCTGTTTCTTCCCACCCTCACACCCCAACCCCGAAGTAACAGATCCTCATTTATAAAAGGAACATTAAAACATTGAAAAATATTTTGTTTTTCCTTAAAACACCATTCAGTGGCATTAGAAGACTTTTATGACAAAATTTCCACTCCGTGTGGTGCTCTGTGTGGTTCATTAAAAATAGTTTTCCACATTTTGAAGAATGATTCAATATAGTTTGGAAGCTTAGATTGGTACAGGGTCAGTCAGAGCTTAATGGCTGCATTTACAGTATGTATGTATATACATGTATTTGTGTGTATATACATGTATTTGTGTGTATATACAAATACATACATGTGTCTATCAGTGAGAGTTGTATAAAATCAGTGCAGCTCATTCTTACGTGTTGCTGCTTGGGGAATGCAAATAGTTATCAGTTTGTAGGAAATGATATAAAGTTTTCTACATCACCCTCCCCAGTCCCTGCACATGCACTCTGGGATCTGGACACTCCACAGATGTATGTTTCCACCTGCGGGTTGGAGAAAAAGACAGATCAATTCTTCAGAGTATATTAGGTGAATCAAGGCAGATTATATTTTACTGTACAGAGGAAAGTGACTGCTTCCTGCTTTTCTCCTGAGTGCAGAACATTAAGGGGACTCAGACATGAGGAGGAGAAAACAGAAAGGTCCAAATGCAGGTCACAGCATCCCTCAAGAGATGCTTGCCTGTGAGGGACCCTGACCAGAAGGAGAGCAACGGGAAATTCTGACAACTGCATTCCCCCACCCCAGCACTCTCATTCTGGACAGACACTGGCTTGCGACACATCAGACATGATGTGGCAGGATAATGGTGGCAAACAATGTTAATAAAAATGCTTTGCTGTTCCACGGTGTCTGTTGTGGGAGGGTCTCAAAGCACTTCATTTGACATTATGGTATGAACCCTCATAATGCCTCTGCAGAATAGGAAAGTGTTACCATTATCACACATGTTGACCATAGGGAACCGAAGTGCTCAGGACCAGGCTGTGGATCCTGACACCCAGTCCTGAACCAAATGTCTTTTCAGTGACAAACTCTCAGAACGAGGAATAAGGTAAAAAATGACATAAGAATACCTCAGTGCGCTGAAATGTCACTGCTCTAGCTACCAACCCATTCCAGCACACACAGCAAGCCATGGGAAGACATGGTGCCCAGGAACAAATTGTGATCATGGTGCCTTCCCAAAGAAATTTGCTGAAAATTATCTGTGGTGGTGGTGGCAGAGTCCCTGAAGAGATTTGGCCTAGAAAGTCTTTTTGATGGTTCTTGTGGGACATATCTGCTTGGAACTGTCGAGTTGATAGAAAAGATGAGGATGTTGGGCTAAGTTTTCTTTGGAGGATTATTGCCCAGGTAGGACAAGTTAGCAGAGGGCCTCAGTCGGAATAATAGAAGGCTCTGAGGTTAAATGGCCTGGAGCACAGCACAGCATGAGCTACTTGAGTGAAAAATTTCCATATTGGCATCTAGTCCAGCAGCTTCTTATGTTCACTAACAGAACATTTAAACGAAGACTAGAGCTTGAGACATACAGCTATGGACATGGATAGAGAGGAGCGTTCACCCACCTGCGGACTCACATGGTCACCTTTGCTCCTCTGACTCTTCCATCTTAACTCCTGGAGACTCTAGGATGGACTCCCCTCTCCCACAGTGTCCACATGTCCCTGGTTGCAAAGGAGAAGATCCTGTCTTTGCTTGGGCCAAGAGAGAATGGAAGAGCCCCAGAACCTCCGCAAGGATTGCCTCCCCATGAGCCATGTGTGTTTCTCTTCTCTTCACAAGAGGCACGAGCTTCGGTCTGTGGGAAGGTCAGCAAGGGCAATGTTTTCACAGGGATGGCCTTCTGTGAAGAAGTAACCAACAACTGAGCTGAGGAGCTTGGAGGTAGTCAGGGGAGAGAAGTGTCCATCAAGGGAAGGAGATGAAGTGTCAGCCTTTTTTCTCTTATGCCTCCCATGCCACGAACTGCCACTCTGATCTGTAGACAATCCTGGCTGTTGCCCAGATTGATTTTGCCCAAGGCTGCATGGTGATGACTATGTGAACAATGGAGACTCTTATTCATTCCTTCCCAGCTCAGTTTCCATCAAACAAAGCCCCAGTACTTCTAACAGCCAGAGTCCTTCCTGAACAGTCTCCATCAGGCAGGGCAAAAGAAAGCCCATGAACTAAGACAGTATGGGAATGGAAAAGGCCACACTGCCACCTCATTGAGGCCTCCTGCCTCTAAATCCCACAGTGGGGAGATGGCATGCTCTTCCTGCCTATCCCACACCAGAAAAACCTGCTGTTGTGCCATAAGCCTCCACACAAGACTCAAGCTCACTACAACCTACAGTCATGGTATGCTACAGGAATGATGTTTTGGGCTGGGAACATCATTAAGGCCAGGAGGTGGGAGGTATTTGAGGGGAGGGAGAAGGGCAGACCTAATTTAAATGAAGTGAAAAGCCATGTAGGAAAAGGCTCAGTGCAGGAATGTAGGATGTGAAGAGAGAAATACTGGATGGGAATGTGTTTACAGCCTGAAGTCAGTCATCATTTCACCTGGAGGACAAATATGCCTGTCGTTGGGATTAGCAGCATGGATGTGTGCATGTGGTGGGGCTTTGAGTGCACACCATGGACTAGCAGTTACAGCACTGGGTCTTGCTGGCCTTCAAGACCTCTGAGACCCTTTCCTGGCCACAGAAGTATACGCTAGTGTGAGTTAGTTCTACAGAATTCAATAGGAACACTACTACAAGGAAAAAACCAAACCAAACCAAAAGAAAACCAACAGAAACCAAAGCAAACCCCAATCTGGCTTGAAAGCCAAAGATAAGCCCCTCACAAATTCTGGACCCACGAGTCTATGTTTTACAGATTTTACAAATATACAGTATCTAATTAGCATTAATCAGATATACAACATGCCCACTTATTATAATTATGCTGGATATATAATTTATATGCATGAAATGTAACTGTCTTCATGGTTAGGATCGGTTGGTACTCAGTGGATTTAGAATTTGGAAGGTTTTCTTGGTGGGGGGGCATTAGATGGAGAGAAGATAATGGAAAATTACCGATCTCTTTTTCTGTAGACAAGACACCCTCAGCTTTGTGCTTCTGCTAAGGGCTAGGAAAAGATTTGCTACATATGGAGTTCTAGGCTGTAACTGAGAGAAAGTTCATTCAGAAACAGGAGAACTGGGCCAGTGGAAAATGCTTTCAGGAAAATAAACAGGCTCAATGAGTGTGTGGTAGCCTTGGCCTTGCAGGGGTCTCAGTGGAGTCAGAGCTTCCCCAGCACAGGTCAGCAGTGCG